ACTGGGCGAGGAACACTGCCGAGAGAAAAGGCAGCATTTTCCTTTGTTGCATAAGCTCGTCTGTGCTGAGGCTGGAAAAAATGACGGTGATTGCTGTCACACTGTTCTCAAATCCGCTTTCTTCTGTAGCAATTGCTGAGTGGCCACCTTATCGAGGTGTATTTCTGAGGGGTGGGACGATTCGCTTGTGTGCCTACAGTGATTTGTGAGAGCCTTGGAAGGGGCACAGCTGTGCTTTTCAACTTGTTAGGCTCAAAGTGGAGAAATCTGGGCTTCAAGGGGCCGAGCGGACGAGATCTTGCCCTTAAGGCAGAATATAGAAAGTAGACGTAGCATGAGATGGCCTTTTTTTTCTGTCCTATTTACTGTTGTTCACTTCAAGAATAAATCAATAATTTGATAATAAACTGATGAGGATTTTTCTGGATTTGCTACGTTAACGATGCCTCTGGGCTCTGCAAAAGACATTCTCGTTAGTAGACACTCCGTAATTAATGATTTGTTAAATTAAAGACTCATTCATGTCAGTTCACCTTAAGTTTAACTTTATGGCTCATTGTGTGGAAAAATGCTTTATTTTATCACTTTAAATGGCTTCATTTTGTTTGTTTTGACTAAAAATGCTTTTATCTAAACAGTGAATATAGAAATTCATAGAAAAATTGTCCTTTTACATAATTGTCGATATTTAATTACTTGTTTGAGAATATAAGGCATTCTTCACATTCCTGGGATTGAGCGGAAGAAAGGGTTTTCAGCTGTTCCAGTCAGCAGTCTCTTAATATGCTATAAAAGAGTAATAAAACCAGAAACACGAGGTTCAGGAAAGACTTGGAAATCTTAACGGCGATCGTTGTGCACAGACATTCCTTCTAGCAGGTGATAAGGTGGTAGAAGTGGTGGATTTTCAATTTAATACCTCGTAAACCTCATTTGCCTTCTCTGGGATTCCACCTGGGAGCGGCCCTGTAAGGCTGAATCAGCATGGGTGACGCTGCTTTTTGTTTGTGATATATTGCAAACTGGTGGCACATTCGTCCCTGTTTTAAGTGTTGAACATTACGGGTGCACCTCTTAGACACGATGCGTTCACTGCCAACCCCCTGCGTGCCCTGTCCTGTCTCTTCAATGTGCAATGTGCACATTTAGCAAACAATAGTGCAAAAGTCTTGAGCCACCCTTCATTTCTTGATATTTTACTTCCAAGGAGCCAGACTTTCCTGTCAGTGTTCTTGAACAATAGTTCTGAAGGTATTCAAACTTTTTCTTCGGACAACATGTTTTATTTTTATTTTTTGTTTTTTGTTTTTGCACTCATTTTTAATTCAGTTCTTGTACCTGACAATCTTTATTTTTCATTCTAACTCCAACAAATAACTGTAATTTGTTCAATTTCTTTAGCAAATCTGCCAAAAAATGGCATAGTTTGACGGGAATTAAATAATATTTTTGCACCAGCAAAATAATTTCTAAAGAACTATTAGCTGAAAACTTGGCATATCTAAGGATGTTAAACATTTTGGGGAAACTGGACAAGTGGAGGACAAATGAAGTGACAGGCTTAAAAACTGTCTACAGCACATGAACCCAAAGTCCTTTATTTAAGAAATAGAATAAAAATCCAGCAAAGACCTGACACAGGGCCTGAGAGATGCATCTGGCCCTTCAATCGATCCATCTACTGCTCACCAAAGCCTCATCAGAAATGGTCACTGATCACTGTTTGGAAGAGCGGTTTTTAAGAAGCCATTCTTAAGGGAAACTGTGAGGAACGATATACCGAACACACTGCCAAGAAAAACACAATCGGTGGAAGACAGTCGGTCCTGGATTGGCCTGTCCAGATCCTAGACTTCAACATTTTTTAAGCAGTGTTAGATCATCATCACCAAGGAATGAAACAAAAGGAAACCAAAGTCCAAAGAAGACCTTTGAATGTACTCCAGGAAGCCTGGAGAACTATTAATGACGACTACTTAAAGAAATTACAAGCAAGCTTTGCTAAGAGAGTGCAGACTGCTGAAAAGTAAGGGTGGTCATACCAAATGCTGACTTTCAAGCTTGTAAGAGTTTCAAGCTTGTATGCTTACACATTTTTCCCGTTTTCCTAATAGAATATAAAGAAATAAGGAGTGGCGTAAGACTCTTGCACAGCACTGTGCAGTGACCTCCTACAAACTTCAGCTTCTCGGGAATCAGATCTTCATCTCGCCTTGACCCTCGTCTATCAGAATGATAGAATGATTACTGCAAAATTGATCTGTGTGTTCTGATTCTGTACTGGTAAAAATGGACATAAATAAGGATTTTAAACATGTCTGATATGCAGGCATGAAATTAAAAAACAAAACAAAAGATCATTTCAGTGTGTATGCTCAATGAAGCCCAGGATGAATCTATTCTTTATACTGAATCAACATGGGTGCTACGAATGTGCCCACGTTATCTGCTCTGTAGCCACAACCCAGGACAGCACATTACCACATAGATGGATGCAGTCATTGTGCAGATAAATGGCAGAGGTTTCCACTCCTCCAGAAGGGCACCGTGAAATGGGAATTATGTCACCAACATTATTCCTCAGCGCCGGTGTCTGTAACACATTTGCGCTCACACAGGCACACTTTGCAGCCGTGCTCGGGAGCCGGTGATTTCCCCGCGGTGTGTCTGGAGTTAAAATGATGTGTTTGCAAGGATGAAGAGGTTTTTAAAATGCAGTGTCATCTTGGGTTTAGATTCAGTTGCAATAGCAATGCTTAAACAAAAGAAGTGCTGCCCACACATCTAAGCTACTGCTGTGGTTTTCCAACCGGGGTTGAAGTAGCTGAGTTCATCTGATGGGGCTGTGGGTAAAAATGTCGAGTACTGCCACAGAAGTAGCACGCTGTGTACACAGTAGTCGGTTACCAAATGTAGCATAACCAGATTTCTTTATATCAAACTAAAAATAGCCCTGTTTCTTAATTTTTTTCCCCTGGCATGAACAAAACCATCAGTGAGTAGTGTGAACCCACCCTCAGAGCAGCTCTGCTAGCAACTTATGAATTTGTATAGCTGCGCCAGAGGAGGAGGAAGCTAATAAATCTTGCAAATTTCTCCAAATGCATCACCTGACCTGAACTAAAAACAAGAGCATCATTATGCTGCTGGAATTAAACACAACTAACATAGCGGAGGGATGATGTCGATGTAGCAGCGATGCATGTAGTAACCCGTGCACCCGCCCTCCTCCATCCTGAAGCCTGGCGCTTGTATGTGAGGTTGTTCTCTGTGAGGATGATTTATCTTTGCTGCAGATCGGTTTCATGCCTCTTCACTGTTGCTGTGTAATACGAGAGCTGGGAAAGACACAGCTGTTTCCTGTTATCAACATTTTTTTTTAATCTTCTACAGGAATTTATTATGTAATCTTCTGGGTCTCTGTTTGCTTACTGTGAATTTAGTACACTCAAAATGTAGACGTGCACATATGGACTGTGGTAAAAAGCAGCAGTGGTTATAGAGCACGGTGCTGATGAGAGTTGAAGGAGATCAGAACCTGCACATCACGATTCTGTGTGAGTCGGACAGAGATGGAGGCGGTTAGGGAGGGAGGGTGAATTCGAGGGGCAACCCCCCTTTCTAGACGAGGGATTCCTTTACTGCAGTGATCAGCAGTACTCCCCCCATCCCTCCCCTCTCGTGCTCCTCTCACTCATAGCTTTTCTCTTTCAGTCTCCCTCCCTCCCTCCCTCGTCTTCCTTCTCTTTCTTACCGCCATCCCTGCCAAACATACACACTCCACAGTCACGTTTCGGGTGGGGAGGGACTGTCTGCTGCAGGGTACAGTATATGCAGCACATGGTCAGAAACGCAAGCGAGCTTGTGACTCGCACGTTTTTACTCCAGCCTCCATTTATCTCCATCGCTCCCCCGCCACCCCTCCATTTATCCTCACGTTCATTCTCCCCGTCTCTCCACACCTCTTTCCCCCTCTCTCGCGGCCCGTCTGCCCATCTCCTCAGCCCGTTTTTCTTTGTCTCTCCCCCTTTCCCTTCACCGTGTGTGACATTGATTCCAAGGTTGCTGTGCTGTTGACTGCTGCTACGCTGTTAAATATTGCAGGCAGCGTTTCAGTGGCTGTGTGCCGAGGGGAGTGGAGGCGCGGGAGCTTTGCTCAGTCGCTGCAACTGCAACTACCGCTGACAAACAGGCTGGTGAACAGACGGGTTGGACACACACACACACACACACACGGCCACCTGCAAGCACACAGAGGTATATCCACGCATACATGTCACTCCACAGATCGACGTGCACGTGTGCCCGTGCCATATTTGCATATGTTTGTGATGGCGCTTTGTGCCAGCGGGTGCGTGGGCTGGTGATGACGCTGTTGTGGGTATCTCCGTGAAATCTTCCTGGCTTTCGAATAGCTGAAGTTAATGAATGAACAAAGCAGTGCTGGAGTGCTCTCTGCAGACTGTGCAGTTATTCCAGATGAGCCAAAAGCCCTTTCTCAGCATGTCATCTGATCAGAAACCTAATCACTGTTTGGGCTCTACTTGGTGCTTGGCAATTGGTATTCTCATTTAGGACACACACACACACACACACACACACACACATACCTGTTTTTCCTACATCGTGGGGTCCAATGAGTGACAGGTGCCTGATGGGATCCACCCTTTCCAAAGGGTGTAAAGACATGATTTTCACTCCTAAATTCATAATAAATTCATCTAAACTTAAAAATGACTTGAAAAGTCAAACACACTCAAATAAATTTTAAACCTGAATTTTTGTTTTACTGGGGACCAGACATGACCCGTCTACTGATACTGGGGACCAGTCATGTGTCTATGAGCATACAGTCAACAACACTGATCCATGAAACCTTACCATCATATTACATAATGACTGAGACCCTGAATTGGTTTAGTGGAAGAAAATGGATGGATTGTTTTATTAATCTCATCCTGACTGCCAGATAATTATTTTATTAATTTATTTTTTTTAAATCTGATTCTAAAATATTAGTTAGGAAGTTATGAAATTACACAAACACTACTTATGAAATTTAAGAATGTTGTAAAAGTTGAGCAAAAGGTAACATTTTCTATAGTGTTTTACTTGGTATGACTGAACATATGCAAATAAAATAATTTTAAATCAATTCAGTTTGTCAGTTGATTTTCATCAGATATGAAGCATCAGATCTGCTTTAACAGAAAACAAAACAATATTTTTACCAAACCACATTTGACGGTTAAAAGAAGTCACCTACTGTACGAAATGGGCAAACAATCTGAGTTTATGCCTTCACATAACATTTATTTCAGCCTTTTAAAGTCAGACCTTCAGCCCCTTACATCCAACAAACAGTGTATGTGTTTATCTATATACGCACACATACATATATCTATCTATATATCTATATCTCTATATATCATATTATATACAAGTATAAATATAAGTATATATAAGACAGTACTCCCTGATAAGCAAGGTGGCATTTTTAGACATGTCCGAACAGGAATGCCTTTTCCTTTTCAAAACATAATTAAAACTAATTCAAATGGAACATGAATCTTTCCAAATGTTTTTTTTTTTTTGACGTCCAAAAACATTGTTCTAGCACAGAACGTAAAAACATTGCAAAGGGGCAAACAAGGCACAAATGAACAATTAAGAACAGGCTGTTAAACTCTTTTTGCAGCTTTACGCTGCATTGCAGTGATTCGATTTTTTACATAGAACTTTACCCCTGTCCAGGTTCTGTTTTTAAGTGCTTTCGGTGAAGCCTCAATACAGGCAACGCACTCCGACTTTCCTGGTACTTTACCAGACTCAATGAAGGACATTAGTGTCTTTTCCACAGCATGGACCTCAGCTGATGTCCAAGTCCTCTTCTTTGATGTTCCTAAAATAGAAAAGAAAGTGACTTAATACAGTTGTAATAATTAATTTAAGATAAATTAAGGCAAAACTAAAAAGGGTAGACGCTTCAGTTTTAGAGTAATCACTTTTAAATTTTGCACGGTTTCCTCTTAGCTGTTGAGGGTCCAGTTAAATCATGAATTTTCAGAATATTAATAAAATAAATCTGTCAGTGAACAGGCAAATTACACATTAGGTTCTTTATCACAGTTATATGTGGATACATCCTAGGTCCCTGAAACTGCCTACACTTTTCTATCATTTGCATTTTTTCCTTGCTTCTTAGTACCTCCCAAGAAGGATGGAGGATAGATACAAGAAAATCTAAGGAAACATCCACTTCTAACAAGTGAGGTAGCTAACCACAGTTCAGTTGTCAGTCAGCTTTAACAGTTGAGAATAACAATAATAGAAACACTTGAAAGCAGCAATGTTTTCTCCCTGTAGCCTGCTATCACTTTAGCACCTGTAGATAAGTAACAAGCTGCCATCTGGATTCATACTGCATCCTGCTCAGAGACAGAATCCACTTACAGAATTAGTGTCAGTATGTACTTAAGTTCTAATTGTGAACTTAATTTTTTTTAAATAATACAAAATATTCTAGTATATTCATAATACTAGAAACCATTTAATTTAAATGGTTGACAAAAATGAAATTTCAAAGATCAAATCAGATGCTTAGAAACGATCTGCCTGTTAGTAGAAATAACAAATAACTTAGTTATCAGTGTTTCTTGCTGACAGACTGACTTTATCCAACACCCCATCATTGGTATGAAATTCAGTGATTATGTGATGGATTAGACCAGTTTGCTCAGCCACTTCAAAAAAATAAATAAATAAATAAAAATATCAGTAATATATAAATAGGGTGGCTTGTCAGATGGAAAACTACTTTTGTGAAGCCTGCTTCTGTGAATGTTGCCTCACTCATCAAATACGAGCTTTGAGATGGCCTGCAAGAGTTAGAATCAAACCAACTTTCAATTTAAAAAAAAGAACAAGAAAATTAGTGAATTAGGATGCACCCAGTGTATTTCTTTGCATCAGTATGAGATCTTTGTCATCAAAAATGACATATTGTGGCGTATCATATCTGATGACACTCACTACATGCTATTAAAAAGATTTTTTTAAACAGTAACGCACAGGAAATGTTTGAATACATGGGAACTACCAGCCTAACAGCTGTACTGCCATCCAGAGTTAGAAAATGGGCTATAAATTTCATCTTTAACTGATAGTAAATCTGATGTCATTTCTGTTTCCATTCTTACATTGGTAAATCATTATAAAATGCGGTCTTGTTAAGTACAAACTATTATCTCACTACGTCTCCCAATGACTGTAAAAATGTACATTTCTGCAAAATAAACCACTCAACTATGACCTTTGATGGCAACTTTATGGATGAGAAAAAGAAAAAAAAATGCAAGTCAGCCAGTTCAGATACACCAGGACAAGGAGAGGAGTCAAAGAAATCCTGCAGGTTAGGTTTACAGGGTCTGACTCAGCATCCACCCTCACTCTGAAATGGAAAACCTGGATTACCTAGTTTTAGCCAAACATGTTTTCTGGCACAGAGCCCTGATTCCTGGAATGATCTTGTCCAGAATTAACATGACATAAAGACTTTTGTAAGAATTTGGTTGCTTCAGGTAAAAGTATTCACCTACTGGAGCTCTCAAAAAAGAGCTGACAGAGGAAGAAGTGTTTTTCTGTTAAGTAACAACAGTAAATTATTTGACCAGTAACAGTCATTTTGGACAAGAGTAATAACCACATAATCACCCATAAGTAGTCAGCCTTAATAAATTTGGCACACATTTCACCTGCTGTAACGTTGACGAAAGCCTTGAACTGAAATACCTCCATTTTTTCTTACTGCCTTGTTACATTAATCATTACTAATTCATCATCATGTCATCATCAAGTCTAGATAGGTTGTACTAAGAACATTTGTACAACTTTGAAATAAAAGAATTATTAGGGTGAGAAAGCAAATCAGTGCTTATTTTAGTATAGCCTTTTTAGCTGTTGTGTGGAAAAGGGAATGGGTAAAGAAGAAATGTGGGCAAATGCCAAGCCTCAGTCTGTGGGATACCTGTAGTAGGGTGGTCACCATCAGGCTCATCTGTGGTCCACTGTCCTTGCTTGAATCCTGGTGGTCCTATGAGAAGAAGAGTAAACTGTGTAAGTAGAAAAAATATGTACCTTGTGAGCCTGGAACAGAGAAGACAAATACTGAAAAACGTGCAAAATTGTGACTGCAATGCAGTACAGTCTTATCACCCTGCTACATAACTCATCTGTGCTAAAATTTAAAATATTTGAAAAGTTTCAATATTACACTGTCAGTCAAATACCTAGTCCAGTCTCCTTCAGTTAAAGAATGTGCTTTTTTTTGGCAGAGCTCTTGAAGGAAAACAATCACAAAGGTTGAAACAAACGATTTTACCCATTCATGGTTCTCTATATACAGAATTAATGCCAACTGAACTGACGTGGCTTGAAAATAAAATGGTGGGCAAGCAGCTAGCAGCAATAGAAAAAGCTAACAGTAATAAGCACGCAAGGGGACAAAGAAAGTTACACAATACAGGCAACAATAGTGCTATCAGGCTCTTTGGTAGGGGATACTGAAAATGATCAGTCTAAAAAACTTCTAACCTACTTTTTAAAGTACATTCAGTACATCCAGTTACAATTACAGAAATTATGTTTTTCTTGTGGATTATGTGAAATCTGCTCTAGACAGTCATACCAATCAAAAGGTTTTCAGGTTTGCACAACTGAAATATACCCAAAAGAAGAACATCTATACTCTCTGTGCTCCTGTTTGGTTTAATTCTACCAATTTGTAAAAGCAGGTTTCAAAAAAAGGAAGGGGGGGGGGGGGGGTGCCCGACTTAAAGTCCTGTAGTTTGTGTGCAAATTACCCATTTTAGTGGCATCAGTGTCAGACTCCTTTTCCTTTGAAGTTCCTATTAACAAATTGAGATAGCACACAATCAAAATTCTGTAATTGTTTTTTAGGTTTTTGTGAAGCTTGCTTAGAGGCTAAATTAAGACAGGTACCTGAGGTGAAAACAGGGTGTGCGGTGGGTGTGAGATGTACCCTCTTTAGGGTCGTCAATGTCAGATCCCGTCTCCTCTCTTTTCTTGGGTGTTGAGGATCCTGTTAAAAAATTTTAAATTTCTGTGTTTATAAAACCCACAAAAAAATTTAAAAAGGTACCATCTGGTTAGTCTGCTGGATACCTGTGGGTGTTTCATCAAACTCAGTGGTTGGCTGACTTCTCGATCTTTGGGATCCTTTGACAAAAAAAGTCAAAAGTCAAATTTGTCAGTAATGGTATATGGTTGAACTCCGTGCCCATTCAGCCTTTACACTACACAATGTATTTTTTGTTAGAGGTATTAACTGTATGTAAAGATGAATGGCATGTCTCCACATCTTTGCACTTTTCAAATATTAAGCCATAACAACAAGCGCAGACATCTGTTGCTTGTCATTTCGACCAAGTGTCTGCACAATAGTGATGGGGCAGTGCAGCAAGGGATACAGTTCTTGTCCATCTGCCTGCCAGAAACTAACTGAAATCAGCTGTCAATACTGACAGATCACAGCCTTTTTATAACATTTAAGTACACTTCAAACCAAACTGATCAGAAAATTTAACAATTGAACATACATTCATGTGATAACTAAGTAAAATGAGAGAAACTCTTTCGGAACAATTTGACATGTACTTTGAGGTTTTAGTTTGTCCCCTCTGTTAACAGTCTGCCACTATAAGATTCCACGTTTTTTGCTACAGATTTAAAAACCATCATGTCATCTATTTTTATATGCAGTAAATGGCTGGATGCTAAAAAACAGTTAAACCTGTCACCTACTCGATGTTGAGGAACTGAACGATGACTCCTTTGATGCATCCGTCTCTGAAAGATCACTTTCCACATCTTCCTGCATTTCTTCTGTAAAGCAGTGATAAGAAAACCATGTAGCACAAAAGACATTTACTCTGAAATAAAAAATATAAGAACATTTTGTTTACCATTGGGATTAATTTGGATTTGATCGAGGCTCATTCCCTTGAAGTCTGACAGTCGGCCTTGTTCTAGAGCAATGAGCACTTTGCTGACTTTAGCCAACTCAAGTGTTCCTTCAGGCAGTCTATAGTACTCCCTATGGACTCTGATATCATGGCCTAGAAAATTTGCGAGGATGTCCATCTCATTGTCTCTCAGATTTAGGACTGTGGACAATGTGGACACATGCTTTCTCAACTTAGTTGAGGACAGTGTTTCTGGATGCTTCGCTCCACATTCCTTTGCAATCTGTCTGATGGCATCTGATCCCCTGAAGTGAGTGTCTGCTTCAGGTCTAGAGAAGAAAAAGGGATTTTCATCAGACACACCACAGGCCCGCCGATGTGAAACCAAGGCTTCCATTGAGGACAGCATGTCTGGTGTTAAGAGGATAGGAACTTTTCTGTTCCTTTTCCCTCTTATTTCAATGCGCTGGAAATGGCGACAAAGTTTTTGTTCCAACTCTGAAAGTCCTACTGCCAAATCCGAATGGACTCCTGAAGTGTCTCGCAGGGTGAATGCAGTTAGTGGCATTTTTGATACCTCACCCTCTCTCCTCCGGTTAAACAGTATCACTTCGCAAAGAGTCAAATTGGCCAGCATTGACCAGTTCTTCTTATTGGGATCACTGGCAAGTCTGGTTTGGTATTCTTTTCTGTACCTATCAAGATACATGTGCATGGTTTTTACATCCTCGGTGAAAGGGAGGAGTTGAGGAGTGTTCCATTTTCCTTCTTTTAGAGTTTGCAGGGCACGAGATGAAACACACACATCCCATTTCTTCTCATAAAGATCCCGGCTTCTCTTCAGATTCTTAAGAAATTCCTCATCATGAAAATCTGCCATCTTTGCTTCACACTCAAGAATATCTGCAATCTTCTTGAGACTATGGCCCAGTTTCAGAGCCAATGATGGAGCTCTGTAGATGTTTTTGTCTTCATCAAAGCCAGCCACATCCTTTACTGCTTGAACCACAAACTTGAAATTTGAAGGTACATAGAAATCCTCCATTTTTTTCAGTGTCCCTGCTTCCCGTGAGCGCAGAAGTAACCGTCCCATTTCTCGCATTTTTTGTCTGATGTACTCATGTTTGGTCTTGTCATGTCCATGTTTTGAATACAAGTGTTCTCCTAGTCGCAAGATACTTTTCTCCTCTCTGATGATGTTTCTGACTTCATCCTGATGCATAGCATTCACCAGTTCCCAAACCTTTCTGCTGACACCATCTGGGACAGGCTGTGCAAAGGCACAAAGTGACTGGATCCGACTTTTGCCTGGTTTTGCTGTGCTGCATTTCTGTGAAAGCTTGCATCTTGAAATGTGTCTCCATAATGAATGTCTTTTCAGCAGTGCCTGGCAGTTAACACAGTGCATGTAGTCATTTGGCTTCACTGGTTTTTTAGTTTGCTGACTTGGGATTAGTGTTCCACAGCCCGCTTTCAGAACCTCAATATTATGTGCACGGTTCCCCTTGTTTCTAATGAGGTCAAAATGTAGTTTGCGCTCCTTTGATTTCAAAGGAAAACTGATTGCTTCTGCTACAGCCAGTTCACTGCTGTGCTTGCGTATTAAGTGCCTTGCCATTTTATGGCACTCCTGTGGACAGTATAAGCAGTGATGCTTTTTACTGTATACTCTAGCCCCATTTTTCTTTTTTTGCAGCTTCATCACAAAAATATTTCCCTGGTTAGGTTGAGAGCTTTCACTTTCTACTGTCTCATGGTCCTTACCCGAAGATGTACTTGGAAGTGCTTTTCTTCTGGAAGTCTTTTGTGACTTCTTTGTTTTCTTAATTTTCAACAATGGGACCCTGTTTGCAGGACTGTCAGATCCCTCTGAACTGCTTTCATTCCGTGAGTCTTTTGATGGAATATATTCATCATCAGTGCTTTCAATACAACTTCCAGAAGCTTCTGAGGTGTCAGCCACCTTGGAGATTGACTGCAGGTATTCACTGGTAAGCTGAAAAACCAGATAGAGACATTTATAGCTAAATTTGCAAGAATAATTACCCAGGTGTGAAAATCTTACACCGTCTGTGAGACCCCTTTAACAGCTTCATTAAAGTGAACTTTAATTTGTTAGAACTGTTACCAGGTTAATGAAGGGTTATAGGATTTAGTCATTTTCATCAACAACTTTAGCTTTGTATACAGAAAGACTTGTTTACCGATAGTTTCAACCCAACCATAAAATTAACAAGTAAAAATTAGGGCTGGATGATACCATTTCAGCACTACCATAAGAATTCACAGCTGACAACCAAATGTCAAATGTTTGTGTCAAACAAGATACAAAAAATCCCTCAAAAAACAACCTGTAAAATAATTGTTGAACAGAGCTGTTCAAATAATTGGATGAAAACTCCTGTATTTTTTCCTCTCTCTCATTACTTTACATTTTTACTCCAAGGAGGCAGACTTGTAATTTCTAAAGTGCTCTTGAGCAATAGTTCTCCAGACATTCGGAAGGTCTTTCAAAGTTTTTCTTTGGACATTGGCTACTTTTTCACTCATTTGAGTCCAGTCCTTGTACCTGACCATTTTCAGAGGAATGTTTTTGTTTGTTAAGCTACTTAACAATGACCTATGAATCATTCAAAGAAAAGAAAAAAAAGTCTCCTAACTTGAGAGATGAACCAGTGTTGTGTCCCCACATAGACAACTTAGAAAAAAATAAAATTTAAATGTTATCTGTAGGTAATTTCTTTCTAGCAGACTGTCACTAAAACATCACTTGACCTTAACATTATTGAAGCAGTGTGGAGTCATCTGACTGAACAGAACAAAATGCAGAAACAGCCAAAGAGGACCTTTAAATGTCCTTCAAGAAGCCTGGAGAACTATACCCATATAGCTAGTAAAATACAAAGAATGAAGAGTGGCCCAAGATTTTTCTTAAGTACATATAGTTCAAAAATTGCAATGCTGCAATG